TGTGCTACCGAGTCCATATTCTCAGCACAGTCATTGTCCAGTATATGTATCTTCCTTGTGAATCTGTTTTGTTCCCTGTATACTACTGTATCCAGAATCTCAGCACTATGGCTGCCTAGAGCAGGGGTGTACAACTCTGGACCTCCAGTTGTGTTTTAACTACAAATCCCAACATGCCTCTGGGAGTCATGCTCGTAAATGTCATTCTTTGCAATGACTCGTGGGACTTGTAGTTCCAGAACAGTTACGACTACGAGTGCCAGAGTTGCCCACTCCTGGCCCAGGGCATTCTGTACCAATTGTGTATTCGTACACATTTGTAAGCCAAGTAGGAACAAAGCTAACTGCAGACAAATGTGCGTGCAACGACACCTACATTAGAAACAGAACATAGAGGTATAAAAGGGCACATTGTGAAATGAGAACAAGGTTCATGACTTCCCACAGGCAGTATCGAACTACGAACAAAGATGCTGCACATTGGTACGGTCCCCCTCCCCCTCCCGGACTCGTGTGATAGTATGTGCCTGGAGAAACAGGAAGTGTCTGCAGATGGGGAGAGCCGTGCTCATGTCATGTGATCAGCGTGGTGTGTAGAGGGATGCAGAGTGCGGGCTTAGTGTTGAATGTCCTGTATGTGAGGCTGGGAGGGATCGGCTCTGTCCTGGGCCATCCGTACATCACATTGGTGAGTACCCGGTATAGACTGCACACAGGTAATATCAGCAGACTAGACTTAGTGATTTGTTATGAAGAATGATTCTATTCTGTGTACCGTTATAAAGTATGGATCGTTCTTCATGGGACTGATGGTGGAACTTCACTATGTTGTAGTCCCTTACAGAAACAAAGTTCTCATCGCAGCTTCAACTTATTGCTTCCTTTGTGTCTATGAAGTTTAAAGCTATTGTCTGCCTTTTGCATGTAATAAATGCACCCATATTATTAATAATAAAATAAAAAAAAGTTTGCATTGGAGCCTGCATAGCATTGCAACTGTGATCAATGGGCCATGTGTGCATTGCACAGGCTTATGCATTGTGTGCATTCTGGTCCTAGGGGCCTGGAGGAAGAAATCAATGGACTACAAGCACCATGATGTCGCTGCACTCGTGCACTATTGAGATCTACGTGTTCCTCCTGTTGTTTTGGCAGATGGGACTTGTAGTCTTCCATTGACAGATCGCTGTGAATGTGTGATGCAGTTGTACAGGTGGAGCCAAACACAGCCGTCCTGAATTTAAAGCAGAACTCCGGGCAAAAGTCTTCTTAACCCTTACAGTGCTCATTTTTGTCTAGGTGCTTTAAAAAAAGTTATACTCGCCTGAACTGTGGAGCCCAGTGAAGCTGTGTTTGTCCTCCACTGCAACAATGGTGTGTCCCTATACACTGTGTATAGAAGGTGATGACTCAAGAATCCGTAAGCTGGCCATACACCTTACAACCATCGCACGACTTTTGTTGTGCGATGGTTGTAAGGTCATTAAAATTTCGTAAGGCCTGCACATCTTGGACAGGCAGATCGTACTTGCCATCATCGCAAGCCCTCCTCGCTGAGGGTAGGGCTTGCCGATGATTGCAATGCTGAGTGGGCGCACACCGCCCCGTGCGAATTTCGTCTTCCTAGCACGCTACCAACCCGCCGAAAATCATACGATTTTCGGCAGGTTCTCCAGCGTGCTAGGAAGACGAAAGTCGTGCGACCATACAGTAGATGCGGTCGCACGCTGCCCATACACCCGCGATTATCATAGATAATCAGCAGGTGTATGGGCACCTTAAGAATGTTGGAGCAGAGGGGGAAGAGAGGCTCCAGCGACTGGTCTAAAGCTCTTCATACAGTGCTGTATTTTTTTTATAGAGGCAGAACAAAAACAAAAAAAGCAGATTCCTCCATCAATGCCACAAGCTCCTTGTTCGAGGAATCCCTGCTGTTTCTTTTGTATTCGGTGGCTGCTGTCGGAATACCTGAACAGTCGGAAGCTGATTGGCTGCCGGCTCTGTTTGTATTGTAGTTTGTATGAATATTTTCCAACTGGCTCCTTTGATCAGCTGATCCAGCGTTGCCGGCCAAAAGGGTGATGACCATAGCGCGCGTTGTACGAATTTCGGCTAGTTCCTCACGATCCGGCTGAAATTCACACAGTGTATGGCCACTTTAAGAGTAAGCTGGCTCCGGTGAGTAACTTTGTTTTTGTCTAGCAGCTAAAAAAAAAAACACTTAACCCTTGCTGCAAGGGTTAAAAACACTTTTGCCCGGAGTTCTGCTTTAAAGGAACCAGAAGGCTGCCGGGAGAAGAACCCTGAGATTTAGGTAATTGGAGGGACAGTTTGAAGGTGGGGTGCTGGGGAATATGGCCATGTTTTATATTACACTCTAAATATTGAAGGAAAACCTGGTCCATAAGGTGGACTATGCTTTTACATGTAGGACTATAACACATGAATGCACCAATGTGCTTTGACTTGTATGACATTAGAATGTTATGAGGCAATAACTGGAGTTTCATAGTAACCTGAATACACTTCTTATCTGCTCTTCAAGTTAATGGTTAATTGGTGCCTGTAGTGTTTCTGTAAACCTCAAATATGATATGTTAGTTTCATTTCAAAGTGTAGTCCTCTTATGAAGTAGTTGCATATTGTTCTTCTATATTTTATTTTTGGTTGACGTTTTTTTATATGAACACTCCTCATGAAGTTTACCAAAGACGCCATGTAGACACGAGGTGACCGTTTCTCACCACATGGGTGGCTAAGGTGATCTGACGATTTAGAACTTTTTTTTTTTCTAGTTGCTGTTATTTCCCTCGGGGTATTCTGACAGCAAGGCAGTCTACAGCTTATTGCGCAGTATGTCTACCTCCCTCCTCCATAGTATATGCAAGTGCTTGTGCATACTGAGCATTCCTCTTTATAGAGACCCGGTTACCAACCTAAAATACTTGCAAGTAAACGCACAGAGAAAGCAAGTGTTCTAAATGCTTACTTGATGTGTTTTTTTCCTTTCAATCAAAGCTGAACTCCAGGCACAAACACTTTGAATGAAAGTAGAGCGGAAACACAAACTTTATTTTTGTTGTTGTTGTGGATAGAGTAAGGGAGGGTCATAACAAAGGATGCACTGATACAGGTTTCTCGTTATCAAGTACCGATTAATATTATTATTATTTATTTATTTTGGTACTTGCCAATACTGGTGCCCCAATTTTTAGGATCATGACCCACTTCCTGATTGCCTGGGAAGCCAGTGTTCTATCGAAAGAACACCAGCTTCACTTGCCAAAGCTGTCTGGTTTCCTAACCAATCAGGAAGCTGGGAGGCGGGCAATGACGTGCCACCCAGCTTCCTGATTGGCTAGGAAGCCTGGTTCACTTGTTGCTAGGCAGCCTGGCTTCCCAGCCAATCAGGGTCATAACCCACCGCCCAGCTTCCTGATCGGAAAGGAAGCCGGCTCCATGCTCCCTCGACAGTGCCAGTCAGAAGGAGATCCGGTATCGGAGGTATGTATCGGTGCATTTGGGTAAGTACGAGTATTCGCACAAATACTGCGTATCGGTTTTGGTGCATCCCTAGTTCCAACTTCTGTCAGCTTTTTTTGCCATCTGTGAGATTCCCCTTCACTTCCTGTCTGATAGCTAAGTCAGCAGAGTCACCAGATCTAGTGTCCCCATTGGAAGATTTCCCATGTTCTCCTGATGACAACCCAACATTTGGGATTGGGAATCTCCCTAATGGGGACACAGCCAGGTTTTTATTGCCGACGGGTTTTCTAATCGTTTTCCCGTGAATCCTAAACTTAAAGGAGAACTATGAGGCGAGTGAAAAATCACTCAGCCTCATAGTTCTATCCGACGTGTGACAATGAAACTGGCACACGTCGGCTCAATAGATCGGGAAGTGAGCGAACACGTAGCGTTGCTCGTTCACTTCTCGACCCTGTCCCTGCAGAGTGCCGTGACTGTCACTCACGGCTCCCTACAGGGATTGCCCTGTCCGATCCTCCAGCGCTGACTGGCGGAACGGACGGGGTAGGGGGCTGGGTACAGCTAGCTCTGCCTCTAGATAAGCAGAGCCAGCTGTCACTCACGCAGCTGGGTGGATCCAGGCAGTAATGTCGGGATCTGTCCCGGCTGCGGCGTCTCAGTATACCGCGAGCTGTAGCTTGCGATATACTGAGCTTTGGGTGATGGGAGGACGCTAGTTTGTGTCCTCCCGTGAGCCTTAGGAGAACTATGGGAAAAAGCTCTGACCCCATAGTTCTGCTTTAAGAACTAAGTTGTGGCTTCAGTTGCACTTTAAATATATTCCTGAATAGCCACAAAGGATCTAAATCCACTTGTGAGCGCCAAATGCCTTTGAAAAGCTAGATAACACCTTGTAAAAGTGTCAGTGGCATTATCCCTGAAGAGCGCCGTTGTCTGGTATATGGGATGAATGAAAGTAAGATTAACACAGTAAACAGAAATGATTCAGCATCTGGATACTCACCATTACAGGTAGTCTATTGCACTTGTGGCTATACCAAAAAAAAAAACCATTTTGTCCACTTTAAATATACGGGACTCCTACCTCTGCTTTCATTATTTTAGAAGTAGGCTTAACATGAATCTCTGCCAGCTGGCTGGCAAAACGAATGATTGGGAAATCAATGTAATGCAAATGGTGAACTTCTCCTCCCACAGGCATCCTCCCACTGCCGGTTATAAACGGTTACCTTGCATGCGTTTTTTTCTTTATGCATTCTGTGCATCAGAACATTCACAGGGATAGACCAAGGTATGGAAGGTCAGAAAGGGACACGCCAAAATGTATCATACAGTAGAATCAATATAGGTATGTAGTCTTACTTCATGTTTGTTTTCTATTCCTGTAGGTGAAGATGCTTATTGTATGCCAAACCTACATTGAAACACTTGAAAGATCATCGTAAGCTTTCTACACAAGAAGCGGACTGTGCTGTTTGCTGTAGCTGGAAAGACTAGTCATCTCCCCCTCTTTGGCTGCTATGAATAGCTTCGATTTAGATTTAGATTATTCGTCATGGAACACCTGCTTAAAGCTAATATTAGCCGGTTTCCTGGTTTATTTAGGCTTTTTTGTATTTTGCCATCTTGTGTCACTACCTCTCTTTGCCACCTACAGAGATCTCTGCACCCGGGAGAAGGTATTTTGGGATCTTGCAGCGACCCGAGCAGTATTTGGAGTGCAGTGTATCATTGCGGGACTCACTGCGTTACTGTTTGATCCTGTACTTACTGCTGACCAGATCACAGCACAGAGAGGATGGGCTTGGTTCACTATTTTGACAGCAACTGGGTTCTTCTTGTTTGAGAACATAGCCCTGCATGTCTCCAATCTAGTGTTTTGGACGTTTGATGCTTTTTTGGCTGTCCACCACTTTTTCGCTTTTCTGGGCTATTTTGGTGTGATATTTTGCACCACAGCCGGACATTATTTGGCCATGGTCACTTTATTGTTGGAAATGAGCACTCCTTTTACCTGCGTATCCTGGATGCTGCTAAAGGTAAACATTCAGAGCTGAGTAGACTAAATACGGTGATGATGTCTATGAGAAAAGTAAAGCCCTCTAAACATGTGGTTCTAACTGGTTTTGTAAGCATCACATTTATAACCTCGGTTCACGAACGCTTCTGTTCGCGAACAATTCTGTTCGAGAACAGGAAGTTCGGCAAAATTTTGCTTCCATTCATGAACTCCAAATCGGGTGACAAACACGAAAGTGGCCATCTTCCCCGCTCTGACACGTGGTTGTGGCTTCCTCTAGTCGAGATCACAGTTGCAGACAGACCTGTGCACACTTGTTGTGAAGCTTTTTTGTGTGCTTTTTAGCACAGTACTGTACAATATTATTCAATCCAGCATGGCTCCAAAGAAAGTGCAAAGTTAAGTGTTCACTCTCTTCATACTGTACTGTACTTTGTAGAGGTGCACCGAAATAGAAATTTAAAAACCGAAATAGAAAAAATTTGTCAGGCCGAAACCGAAAATGTTTTCATTTAAACTTTTCTACATTTTTAAAATTTTATTTTTATAGACTTAAAATTTTTTTTATTAACTATTTTTTACTTTACTTCTAGGGGCGTTGTGGAAATATTAGGGGTCTAAACAGACCTCTGATATTTCCCTTTAAAATAGAAAGAGATTGAGAACACAGAGTCATCAGAGACACAAATTCCTCTATCTCTTTTTCTGTTTCCCCTGTTATCAATGACCAGGAATCCTCTGAGTGTTCCTGATCATTCATAGATTGAGAATATAGTATGTTTACTATAACCACAATTATGAATGAACAGAAGGGGATGTAGATCACTCCCATTCATTCATAATTGAGGGTGTATTAACCATACCATATCCTCAATTATCTACAGACACAGAGTGTCTGTAGCCTGCTCTCCTCTCTGACACACACACTGTCACAGGAGGCTGAGTGAGCGGTGCGAGAGGAGAGCTCAGCCTCCTGTGACAGCGCTGTCTCCGCCGCCACACCGCTCTGCCGCACTGTGATAGGCAGCCGAGCGGTGTGGGAGGAGAGACACCGGCCGCTCACAGCGCTCGGCCGGCTGTCACTTTCTCTCCTCCCCGCTGGGACACAGAGCAGCGCCCAGCGTGGAGGAAAGAAATCACGGATCCGCCGCGTATCGGCAGGAAAATGCCACTTTCGGCATTTAGACAAAAGTGCCAGTTTCGGCGGCCGATATATCGGTGCATCCCTAGTACTTTTTCATTTTTTGTGGTTAAAAAAAAAATAATTATATATGGTTCAGAATGGATTAACCTTATTTACATTGAGTCTTATGGGAAAATTTGATTCGGTTCGCGACCAATTCGGTTCACGACCACGCTCGTAGGGGTCAGAACGGATTAACCTTATTTACATTGAACCTTATGGGAACATTTGATTCGGTTCACAACCAGAATCGCGTAACGAATTAAGTTCGCGAACCGAGGTACCACTGTAGTTTGTTTTCAATATGAAAAGTTTATACATTTTCAACATAAACAGGATAGGCAAAACGGACACAAAGGCAATTACGCAGGTGATGATATCAAGATCCATCCAAAAAGCATTAAACTGCCGACATAGACAGTTATATCAAGGTATTGCATTAGAGGGTCTGAACAAGTGTACCAAATGCGCAGAAGAACTATATGAGCCTCCAGGTCTTCCCAGGGACAGAGAGTAGGAGGCAAAGATTAGAAGATGATCAAAAGGGGGTGAAATACAGCCTTTATTGTGGGTATCTTTTAAAAATGTCAGAGCTCATTAAAGGGATCCATATACTCCAGGTGTAGTGTTCAAATGCAAATGGGCTGTCTGTTCTTCCATGTGTTGAAACGGAATGAGTTCAGCAATCCATATAAATTTAATGTCTAGGACCCATCTAACTCATTCTGTTTTTCTGGGGAGCTTACAAAGGCCTTAGTAAGACTATCTGTTCACTAGATGAATGTAGTGTAGTTCAGCTTTATTAGTCAAACATCTTTCTTCCAAATTATTCAGCTGTATTGTCTGTTTTAGCAGCATGCTCTTCCATGTTCTTGTAAATGATTTGATTCTTTGATTAGATTCTAGATGGAAAATAGTTTATAGCTTCTCAAGCGAGAATGTATAATCTACTACAACCAAGTTGTCTCACTGCTTAACAGCTGTTGGGATAAAGCATCAGCCACACAGTGAGTGTATTCTTTTCAATAAGTTGACCAACTCAATGACTTGCTTTGACATAAGGAGTAACAATGCTGAAGCACTGTGTAGCACTGCAAGGCAGGAAGCAGAACTTGACTCTCTAATGAGCAAATATGGCTGTCCAAACATTATAGAATTCAAAGACTATACGCAGGAACAAGTGTGATAAAACTATACCACAAATCCATAGATTTAGGTATAGCTGATGCTCTTCATTTTAGGAAGTATAGATAAGAGCACATATTTGTACTCCAATAGTTTTTATCTTATTCTTGGGTTGTATTTTCAAATTTGTTTACTGTCTAACAAAAAACTATTTCTTTTTCCTTTTTGCAACTTTGGTTCTAGGCGGGCTGGTCGCATACCTTGTTTTGGAAGGCGAATCAGTGGCTTATGATTCACATGTTCCACTGCCGTATGGTACTTACTTATCACCTCTGGTGGGTATTGCTTTACAACTGGAATCGCCTGGTAACAGCATTACCACTGGCATATATAGCATTTTTCTTCACTGGCTTAGCTTTAGTGACTCTTGTTCTGAATCCATACTGGACTTACAAAAAGACCCACCAACTGTTGACTCCTGGTGACTGGAACTTTGAACCAGCATCGTCAAAGGCAATGGCGGTAGGCAATGGGCGAGTTGCGTTAAAGAAGAATAAGTAACCACAAAGCAAAGTTGTGTAAGATATTACAGAGGCCACAGTTTTAATGTTGTACTGTGATGGAACATGATGTTAACATGGTCAGTATTGGCTATTCAGTATGTATGATTGTTGCCATACAGTATTTATTATTTATCAGTTGCTACAGAAACTGCACTGTGGTTTGTCTCCTTGTTTGCTGCTTATACCGTTTTTTTGTTTTTTTTATTGGTATTCATCTGCACAAACACAGCCTAGATATTCTAGCTACATAGAGCTTTCATACAGTAACCTACAGTTTGCATTGTTTGTCATCCTTCTGTTCAAATGTTAGTGGCTTTTTCAGGCTGGCTTTATACCTATGCACTTCTTCTTTCATGCATTTATGTGTGTTTTCATTGTGCTTTTTTGCAAATTGGAGCATCTAAGGAGGTGAGAGAAGGCCTAGCTACCTTTGGAAAAGGACAGTCTCAAGACTATGTGGCCTGTCTCCATCCATTTGCAGCAGATGAAGGGCACATAATGAGGAGAATTTTTCAAAACTGGAGCAGACATAATCTGAAGCTGTTGCTCAGGGTAACCAATCAACTTCTCTCTTCAGTTTGTTCAGTTAAGCTTTGAAAATGAAATATATAAGCTGATTGGTTGCCATGCACAACTGTTCCACATTCTGTCTGCTGCAGTTTTTAATAAATTCCCTTCAATGTGTTTTTTTGCACTCCTACACCATTTCTACTGGCCCCTTGATGGATAAAAAAAGACATATCTGAATTTACCATGACTCGCTGCAACGTAGGGCTTGAACGCATTTAGTAAATTAGGAATTCTTGCCTCTACAGTAGATTCTTGTACCTGTCTGCCTCTGTACAGTCTAGTTGCATTGTTTCATGCAAAATTTTAAGTGGAATTCCAAGCAGTTGAAACAACACTATTTAGTTCTGACTTTAGCAGTGCGATGATACTCCTCCATTGCAGGGTTAACAGGGCTAATTCAGAGAGCAGTCAGGGACAGGCCAGAGGTCAGAAAGCCAGGGCAACCAGAGCTCCAGAGCTAGGTACAGAGGAGCAAGCGTCAGTAGTCCTTAAAGGAAGCTGAAGGTCAGGCAGTAAATTCAAAAACCTGTAACCACACAAAAAGCTAAACTGTATCCCACACAAGTAGGCAATAAGCAAGGACCCTTTAATTAGGGCAGGCAATAAATCAGAAGTCGGGAACATAGGACCCTGCCTTGTGACTAACCCGGAAGTCGCAGTTTACCAGGAAATGATAAAATGTACAAAAAAGATAAGGCATACGCTGCGTGGAATTAACAAAATAGAGGCTAAGGGATCACAGGGGTGATCTGCAGGTTAGGAGCCACGCCCTACAACGTGTGTGTGTGTGTGTGTGTGTGTATACATGTACAAGGAAAACATTCATGCGTACATGTGTGAACCAGGACACCGCAGAGTAGAAGATGTGTTGTTTGCACACCATTCTGCTTCGGAATGTCCTTTTATTCGTATTCCTTTAGCGTGACATGTGACTTGAACGTTTCGGAGCCTCACAGGACCCCTTCATCAAGCAAAGTGTCAATGATTGAAAGCAGCAGAATGGTGTGTGGACAACATATCTTCTAGATTGTATGTTGTGGTGCCATCCACCAGTTCTTCCAGCACCCGTTGGATTTTGGGGTACATCGGTACGGTGTGCGAAGGAGATATTACACAGGTTACCTCATAAAGGTTTCTCTATAAATGTATTTTTTTATTCTGGTATTTTTAGTCCTATGCCAAACCACGTTATAGAGTCTTTATTTGAGACAGTGGCGTGAGATTAATCTGATTCTGTTTTAGAAAGTCTTAGAGGAAGGAATGATAATGAATTAAAAGCAGGAAAAGGAGACCAAAATAGGACAATTTTTGGGAGATGTGTGACCGATCCCCATTCAATTAGTCGAAGAGGAAAATAAAATACATTGCTTTCCAGCCTGGGCACTTTAAAAGTGATTTGAAAGAAAAGTTGCGTGAAAAAAGGTTCTAGCCTTTTTTTTTTTGTCCTTTTGAGGGGGGTTAATAGATTAACAACCTTTTGTCTCTTGCAGATAAAAAATACAAATGTACGGGTTTGTATTTCTGAGGACTTGGTTGATGGGGTGGTAAATCCAAGGAAAGATTTGGTTGATGGGGTGGTAAATCCAAGGAAAGATTCTGATACTAAAAAAAAAACTGTAGATAGCAGTCCCATCGTGTGCCATATTGTTCATAATCATTATCATAATCTGGCAGCTCATAAAGCCTGTTACCTGAACGGTAACAGGCTTTGTGAGCTGTCAGGTTATGATAATCTATTTGATTGACAAGATAACTCAAAAGATGTTTTTTAATTATGGTTCATGACAGAGGTAAGTAGGATGTTAAAAGAGAACAAATACGCATATTGGGGATACGAGGAAACAAAGTGTAGCTGATAGAGAAGTGTACTAAAACAGGCAAAACAATATTAGTGCTGCTAAAGCACTGAAAGAGGAGGAAATGGCTAAATCTGAGGCGCATCAGTGACAGGAACAGATGATGCTGTTGGATCACAAAAATGGAAACGATACTTCTGTTGTGAGAGACATGGATTTAACAAACAATTTAAACAATTACTTCTGTTTTGTCTTCTCAGAAGTAAATGACCCAAAAAAAAGTTGGTTCTTGTGGTAAAAGTTGTTGTCATCTTCTTTCCTGTAGTTTTCAGCTGTCCCTCCAACACTGGTGCCAGTCTCCCATCTAGCGCTGACTCAGTCTTAACTGGCACTTCTTGTCCCACGGAGTCTGTGCATGCTGCTGCATTTACTTGCCTTGTGTCTCTCCTCGTCTCCCAGCCAAAGATCTGAACTGCGCATGCGCCCCCGTCCCAAGATCCTTTACGGCCACCCGAGAATCTTCCAATGTTCGGACGAGAGCGCGCGGCGAAGACAGTGTAACCCCTTTCTTATACATTGTTGTGGGGGTTTTTTTTCTTTGTTTTTGCGTATATCTACTGCTTGCTAGCCGTAGATGTATGCCAAAACCGCTGAGGGTTTAATAACCCTTTAATAAAGCAATGGGCCCTCATGGTATTCATCTCAGACTTCTAAGAGAACTTTGAGGTACAGTTGTTGGACCATTAACTGATCCTTTTTAAAGGAGAACTATGGGGTTAAGGCTTTTCCCCATAGTTCTCCTTTGGGTAACTGGAGGACACAAACTAGCGTCCTCCCGTCACCCTAGGCTCAGTATACCGGGAGCTGCTGCTCACGGTATACTGAGTCGCTGAAGCGGATCCCGACAATTGTCTGGATCCGCCCAGCTGTGTGACTGACAGCTGGCTCTGCCTATCTAGAGGCAGAGCCAGCTGTACCCTCCCCCGTCCGTTCCACCAGTAAGCGCTGGCGGGGAGGGGGGAATCCAGCCCCTCCCCTGTCACGGCAGAGAGCCGTGACAGGATTGAGAAGTGAGTGAACGCCGGTATGTGTTCGCTCACCTCCCGATCTACTAAGCCGACCTGTAACAGTCTCATTGTCACAGGTCGGCTAGAACTATGAGGCGAGTGAAAAGCACTCGCCTCATAGTTCTCCTTTTAAGCAATCAGTTCTAACGAGATGTTCTCCATGACTGGTGGACAGTTAATATTGTAGCTATCTGCAAGAGATATAGTGAAGAAAAAGCTGTCAACTACTACAGAGCAGTGAGTTTAACATCTGTAGCAGTAAAATGAATGGAATCAATCCTAAAGAAGAATTAGTGATAATTTTAAAACGCACAACTTGCTGGACCTGTGGCTGCATGTGGCCTTACTGAGGGCAGATCATGTCGGACTAATCTGATTTGTTTTAACTATATCACAAATGTTTTGGAGAAGGGTGATGCTGTGGATATGATCTACCCATTGCCTAACCACCAGAATGTGGTTATAAATGGAGTTTATTTGGAACGGAGGCCAGTTACTAGTGGTGTAACACAAGACTCTGAACTAGGTCCTGTTTTATTTATTCTGTTAGTGATGTAACTGAATGTTTGGTGGGCAGGGCGTGTATTTTGCTGATTGCAATAACGTTAAATATGCCTAAAGGGGTTTGTAGCATGGAACATATGTCATTGCGGGAAGATTGCAAACAGTACAGTCATCGTTATGCAAACAAAAAAAAAGAGGAACACTGTACCTTCACTGTACCCCTGTCTAAAAGAGAACTAAAGCCAAACCTTTTTTAATTTTTTTTTCCCAACTTTTAGTTCTCTTTTGAGTCACGGGATTACATTTTACCAATGTACTCCTGTGTCAGCTATATGCTGAAAGTGCAGAGCCACGCTGCAGCCAGGAAATATCCCAACAATATTGTCAGGGTTTACCCTGCTGCTTGATTGACAGCTGGCTTTGCCTCTCTAGAGTCAGACCCAGCTGTGCCCACCCCCTCCACTGTCTGTCACTCCAATGAGCTCTGGAGGAATAGAGAGAAGGGCGTGGTGGGGAATCCTTTCGGGGGGTGATCAATCAGACAGTTATTGCTCTCTGCAGGGAGAAGCCATGTGCTAAGTGATCAGCGGTTTGTGATCGCTCAGTTCTCAAGCTATAGAGCCGACCTGTTACAGCTGCAGCGTCACATGCCAGCTTAAACTATTGGGAAGAGTACAGAGCTGTATGATTGTAATAATTGTGAAGTTGGGAGTGGAAGGGTTTTAAATGATTATATACTATATTGGGAGGTGGGTTTTTTTTGGTAATGAGTGTAAGCAAGTCTCTTTATACAGAATCTGAAGCAGTTGCCAATGGGAACCAATTGGCCTCCCTCCTTTTTTTTATTTTCAAAGCTTAACTGAAAAGAGAAGCTGATTGATTACAATGAGCAAGTGCTCCAGATTCTGACTGCTCCTGTTTTGATAAACTCCCCCCCACAATGTTTTTATGATGAAAACATCGAAAACACAGAGACACAACCTCAAAACTAGCAGGATGAAAGCTTAACATTAACCTTAGAAAGTATTAATTTTCTGAAAGAGTAGTTGATGCTTTGGGTAGATATAGATTAAAAAAAATATACAAACAGTTACTGCCTGATGGGCATTATAGGTAAAATGTAGATATTGCTGTGGTCTATAAGGGGTATTCAGGTGGAGTAGAAAGTAGAATTAGTTATGA